AGACAGACAGACAGACAGACAGACAGACAGACAGACAGACAGACAGAGAGATACATACATCCATGCATGCATGCATCCGTACATGCATGCATACGTACGTACGTACTTACATACATAAATAAAAAAATATATATATATAGATAATATATACATACATGCATGCATACAATGCATATATACATACATACATACATACATATGCTCACACTTATGTACTTACATACACACATACACACATGAACGTAATTATATAATTACACGACACAGTATATGCAACTATCAGACACTGAGAGGCATCATCGATTTCAGCCGTGCAGACGCACTTAGAGTGCAAATCACAGTTGGAAATCACACTGTTCGCTCCAGCAGAGGTATTTGCAACCTTGCTGCTCATCGATCGCATGGGGCGCCGGTACTATCAAGCACTCTTCTATGGCACGGCAGGCGTTTGTTGGCTGTTTTACCTTGTGCCATCAGGAAAGTACTGGGTGCCTGTTTTTTTGTTCATCTCTTAATTCCAGAGTGCACAGTGTGCTTTCTCAATTGCCAGAGGCCCCTTAGGACATATGAACTGTGTTTCTGATTGGTCACTGTCAACTGTTAACCGTCACCTTCTCAAGAACTTGCAGGAGCCGCAGCTTCCCTCCTAATTTTTCGCGAAGTGCTACCATACCCACTGGTTGCAGTTGCTGCCACCTGGCTCCAGTACCCATCCTTAAACCGTCCTGCAACGACCATCGCATGAAGTACGGATGCTTTGTGCTAATATTATGTGGTGACCTTGGTTTCAGGTGGGTTAGTTAGTTAGTGAGCTGATGAGCCGACGCAAGCGCCAAGTTGTTCAGTGATGAGGTGATCATCGTCCGATGCGGTGTGTTTGCTGCTGGCTCCGGCACGTGGCTTCACACTCCAGAGATCTTCCCAGTGCAGGCCAGAGAGCTTCACACTCCAGACATGTTGACTTTTTGTCGAGGGTTTTGCAATGCAGGGTTCATGTCTGACATGTGTGTGAGTGTGATGTATCTTTTTGATCCTCGAGTGGTTGAAGATTTCGGGCCGCTCCGTGTCGGGTAAGGAAGGACAGGAGAGGCAGAGAGAGAGAGACAGACAGACAGACAGACAGACAGACAGACAGACAGTCTAACGCGGAGATGGAGATGGGCAGGGACAGAGGGAGGCAGGAAGGCATGTTTTTGAGGCATTCTACACGTTTACTGGTGCAAGTGCCACACTTCACCATGGTGAGCGAAGAACTTGATTTTAACCCTACTGAAGTGCGTATTGCCTTAAAATGCTGCCATTCGAGAGCATGGACTACCGACAGCTGTATCAGAAAAAGGTCCAAGGACCAGCCTGGCATCGAGCACAACAAACGAACCAAGGGGTTGGTTTAGAACGACTTGGATTCTTTCCAAAGGGCGGCTTGGGGCATGCACTCAGCAAAGTGTGAAACAAATGTGAGAAAGACTCGTGGCTGGCTGGTGTCAATCCAACTGGAATTAACTACCCAAAAACAATGATAGAAAACCAACCATCAACATCCATCAACCAGGTGAAAATGGATATCAAAGTCGGAGAAACAGAGAAACAGCTAAGCAGCCCCTAAGAGGATGTCAACAAATCCTGAATACTGTAGAGTGATGCTGAACCCTGTTTACCGCCCACAATGACTGCAGGCAGGATCTTCAATCACCTTCATGTGTGATCTAAAGATAAGAAGAAGAACTCAACCTCACATCCAAAATTTAAAGATCGTCAAAGACATGCAAAAAGGGGGGGTGGCAGAAGATGCTGTATTGTAGACACAAAATGAAAGATACACATACATATATATATAACTTAACAATGATTTGGGTTGGAGCTGTAGATCATCATGAACTCCAGCACTAAGCCTTTGCCGCAGATCAGAGCGACTGCGCATGCCGCTTGCAACCTCACAGCAAACATCGGGCGGGTTTTGGCTCCAATCGTTGTGAGAATCTTGGCCATCAAGAGGAAGGGTTCAAGGCAACTGTTTGATCCGCGGGCCTTTCAGAGTCTTCCATCCATGTCACCTATTTCTGCCAGGCCATGCATCAAGTTCAAGCACAGATGTTCAGACATCTCGTTGTCCTATCTGTTCATCAGCAAACAAGTCTAGGCAAAGCAAGTGGAACGAGAGGATAGACAGCATCAGACTTTCTGAAGAGGCGTCAACTGCCACTAAGGTCCTTACCTGTCAGCTGCAGCTTGTGGCTCGATGATGGCGTCGTCCCTATTTATTGCTGTTCTACTTGCGGTGGCCGCACCGGAGAGCGTCCAGTTCACCACAAAAAGGAGCAACGCCTGAGTGCGGGTGGCGGCAAGTTCAACGTGTCATTTCTTGATGGGTGGGATTGAACTGCACATGCCTTGCTATAGTTTGTACACATACCGTCACACACCCCGAAATGGTTTCAATGCGGCACTGCAAGCATTAATCTAGCTCATTTGGAAGGGCTTTGTGCCTCAGGAGGGCAGGATGCACAACGGTCTTCGACCCAGGTCCATACAAAGCTCTGCGCTCAAGGCTCGGGTTGGAGTAAGGAGTTGTGGATATGAATAGCGATTGGAGTTTTCTGTAAAAAATCGGGGTGGTTGGTACTCTGAAAAGCGAGTTCTTAATCCAACCTTTGCTGGTTAAGTTGGAGGCTTGTAAGTAAGTAGAAACCTGGAAGTTTCTCGGTTTTATAGAATATAGACAGATGTTCTTTTCAAGTTGGATTCTATAGAGGTGTTGTAGTCATGGTGAGGTGGATCTTGGTTCCTCAAGCATGCGGATTCTATATAGGATCGTTGGCATTATTGTTCATGTCAGGCACACGCACAGAGACCGCGCACAAACCTCCAGCACAGATAAGTCAAGGCAACATGTTGGCCTTTGGGCGACTTAAGAACGGGGAAAGAGGGGTTACCATTGGACACAATGAATTTGCAGTCCCTTAGCTCTCCATGAGGACCTTTGTTTCGCTATAAGTTTGTGATATTTGTGGTCCTTCAATCATGTGAGTGGATGCCTTCCTGGACATGGAGTTGTTGGTGTTTTTAAAGTTTGGCTCCAGCACCCTATACCTTAGTCTACTCCGCTAAAAAGCACCAGTTCAAGGTGACTCAGGACCAGCATTTTATACAGCAAATCTCTTCAATGTTCAAAACTTTTTACAGACTCATGTCATGAGCCTCCATTCTGTAGAGCTGACACCTCGTTTCTGGACTATTAACATCAATTTTCTAGAGACCAATATTTTGAAGGAGGTTGGTCCCACCACTTTAGCACTATAATATAAATTCTTTACGCCCGACCTACCCACTTAATACCAATCCCTATACAGTACTATGAAACACTATTGTTGAGACTGTTTGTGCATGCTTGCCGCATGTTTGCCTTCACTGAAGATATTTTCTCGCAGTTGAATGTCATAGCAGTTATTGGCAGGGGTCAGTGATCAGTGATTTTGTGCAGGGCGGATTGTGCCAGAAGCGAATCCTGAAGAAGCATGGGTCACCTCAGTTTCTCGAAAAACTTTGTGGCATAATTTGAGCACAGGAATCGGAACAGAGGTGGAGAGACTGAGGACAAGGACAAAAAAGAGCAAGGTAGCGTCCTTCGGGAAAAAAACTGCATTGCAGCATGTCAGACGAATGTTTTAATTCCCAGCTGCTGATGTGATTTTGCATAAGTGCCCTGCATCGACTGGTTGCCAATGCGCGCTCTTGTGTTGTTTTGCTTCATTCATCCTGGCAACATCAGCAGCTATGGTCCCGACGTCCTGGTAAGAAGAAACCCTACCGCATGTCAAGCATCGTGGGTGTGTGAGATGTGGCTGCGCACAGCTGCAACTATTGCCTGAAACATTGGGTTTTGCAGGACAAGTGCTGAAATAGAGACTGTAGCTGCTGTATTCACCACTTATCAAATGCTTGGCAGACAAGAGTCAAAGAAGGCGAAGTGCGTTGGCACACCGCTTTCACGCTGCCGTGCAGTCTGCTGGTGACCGTACCACAAACTTTCACAAAAGAACCTTGGTTCCTCCAGTCTCACAGGTCTATATGGTCAGCGGCATTACGGGATATATAGGCATGAGTGACTACTGGCTGAACGATAGCCAAACTTTCTTGGGGTGGCGTTCAATAGGGCAAACCTGGGGGGTAATGTTGCCCCTAGGGAGCTGCAAACAGGCGCATTCTGTTGTGAACTATGTGATAATATGACTGATAATGACGGGCGTCATTGGGTGCTATGGATTCATGCCGGTTCGTGAAGTACCTTATGGTGCTACATTCAGCAGACGCTGGGCAGGTTATCAAGCAACCCGCAAAGCGGGGAAGCGCTCGTAGCTGATGTGTGGTTGAGGAATCACAGCCAAAAGGTGTCAACGCTGCAGCAAACTACGATGTCAGTTTGGACTTATGAATTATATACTGTGCTGGGTGTGCATTCATTGAGAGACAGTCAGTGTACATTGCCCTGGTGGGAGTCAGGGCAATTTAAGCTTGGATGCTATGGTTCTGCAATTGTTGAAACAGTGGAGGTGTAAAATCCACAAGGTTGCCGGAATTTAATAACGTTACGGCTTCCAAGACTTTTGTTCAAAGTGACATGGTACTGTTTGTATTCGATTCAGTGAGGCGATTGGCTGGGTCTCCCTTGGTTGATAGGATCGCACCCTGGAAACACCTGTGGAATGAGTCTTGACACGGTCTGTGGAAATGGGCTGGACCTTGGAACCTGCAGAGCCCACCACTGCCGAAGATGTCAATAATGAGGTCATCACCACCGTCAGCATGCTACCGAGCTTGAAGAGCGTGTGAAGGACTGCATTCAGCAGAGCCACGTTTGGCGCTTCTGTAGATGGAACACTGCATCAGCAAAAGGAGGACAAAACATGGACAGTGTGAAATCTTGACTCCACAATTGAAATTTTGACCAAAGTGTGAGATCAGAGGTGCTCCAGCAAGCGTGAAACGCCGAGAGTTTGGGCTGACCAGATGTGGCCTGTTCACCTGATCAGGAGCTTAGCCGTTTGCTAGAGCTCGCGCACACGAGAGAGGCACGAACATCAGTTTGTAACCTGTTGCGATGTTCTTTTAATTATTGTTAGTTTCTGCCAGTTTCTGCATGTTTGTGCCAGCATGATGGTGACAGTTCTGGCTGGAGCATTGGTTGACAACTTGGCTGAGACACTCCTCTTTTTCTAGTTTTTGTTGGCAGCCCAGGGGAGCAGTCAAAAACCATGGCACCGTCAGGCGGCATTTAGAGAGGACATCCAGAAAGTGGAGGCGGATGGGACGAATCGAGGGCCGAGACTCATCACAGAATGCTTTATTGTGCTTGACCTGACAACGTGATCAGTTGGGAGGGGCTGGAGGGTCTGGAGGCACCACGGTCGGTCGAATTACGGTCTTTTCTAATTAGTAGCATCCTGGTTCCTAGTAGTAAGGCCAGGAGCTACTACTGTAGTAGCGTGTATGCTCCTAGCAGCGATGCCCCTTGTTCCGAGTAGCGATGCCCTTGTTACCTCTGATTTCAGCGATGCCGCCTTCAGGCCTTGGAGCAAGAAAATGAGGAGCTGCGTGAGCTGCACATCCGACAGCAGCTGAAGCCCCAGCTCACCTTCACGACACGGTGCGATATACGAACACGGATTTGGAATCCATGTCAGATTTGGAGGGATTCCAAGGATTCGCAGCACAGCTTCAAGGCAAGAACGGCCAGTGTATTCCTCTTCAGGCAGAGAGCGCAAGAGCAGCTGGATGAGCTGCAGGAGGAATTGGCTCGCGCAAAGGAGCGAATTTGAGGGATTTCTTTGTTGTTTTAGTTCTGGGGTGGGGATTTGGCCGCATTTGGCCGCTATAGGAAGAGGTAAGCTAATTTATATGATTGGTATAGCTATTATATAAGTACTGGACGCTCGTACATACGGACGTAGGATAGGATAGCGCTGGCACTATTCATTTGTTTCCCATATTTTTAGAAAAAGAACGAGTCCAAGGGACATCATGTAGCGTGTCCCAACCATGAACCTGCCCATCATTCTTCCGTTTTGGTGGACATAGGGTCACACTGGTTTTTGTGGGGTTTCGTCATTTCAATTATGGTTGATATATGTATATTTTTTTTAATTTTGAGAGTCAGCATGGAAAAGCGCTTTTGCATCCAGTGCTCTTGGGTGCTTTTGCGCTTTCGCTTTCCATCATGTTTTTGCAGTGCTTGGCATGGGTTCTGCCGTTCGAATCGATTTTTTGCCAAAGCTAGAATCAGCACGCGGGAGGGTGTGAGCTCTTGGTGCCTTGGTGCGCAAGGGCAATGGCAGCCACCCATTGCCCTGTGTGGTTTGCGATGCCTGGTGATGCATTGACCCAAGGAGCAGCTTGAAGATCATATGCAGCAGCATGGTGACCTGCGAGGCCCGAAGTTCAGGTTCGACCTACGTAGTTTAACCCTCTCGAATCCCTACCTTTGCCATACTTCCTCCAATGTGGCCGGATTGGGTGGCCAATTCATGCCACAACCACCGCTTAGAGCAGCGGTTTTGACTTCACAGGGCTGCATGGCGAAGCAAAGAGTGTCGTGCTAAGCCAGCACAGCCCTCCCACCGATTGAATACAGTGGCTAAACGCAATTCAAGACCATTCTTTATTTATGTGGTTATGTGGTATTAACCACCCAAGGCCCTGGCAATTTGAGTGCCACTGCATCGGAAAGGAAGCCCTGGTACAAGGGTTTAGTTATTTTTATTGTTTCAAGTCAGTTGGTGAAGTATGTGGCCAAGAGTTTGTTGCATGCTGTCCTTGACGTTGGCTGTGCTTAGAAGGGGGGAGTCGCTTGTGTGCTAGGTGTATTGTTGTTCTCATTTGCCTTTTGAAGGAACAACAGCCTGATGATATATGATGAGTCACGATGATGCGTCATGAATAAGATCAACCCTTTTTGTGCTTGATTGATTGATTGCTGCAGTGCCACAGTGACTACATGTTGGATTCTAAACCATGGCAAACAACAGTTGTTGACTCTCAGAAGTTGACTCGCTGAGTGAGCCCCGGAAGAGCAGGTCATAACTCACACCTGGAGTCACAATGGCAGAGTGCCGAGCAGCGTGCGATGCATCATGCCACTTGGACCATGTTGAAACAGCTGGTGGTTACCATCATGACATGTGCATGCCAACAGCTTCTTTTGCAAGTGCCAGGCTTTGGAAATGTTTTTTGTTGCAAGGCTCTTTCGGTCTTTGGGGGGGTGGGGATTGGTGGCGGTGGCATATTGTCAGGCAGTAGTGCTGGATGCTTTGGGGTCAGCCATGCATCTCGCGAACCCAACTGCGGTTTCTTCGTTTGAGGGTTGACGATTTGCGAATCTCTGGGATACTTAACGTTCCCAGGGCGTTTCAAGCGGCAACTGCCGCGCATTTGGCTCTCCTTAGCGGGTGAACATGAACGCGACTGTTTTGACATGTGGACGGACTAGGGCTTAAATCGACGTTGACTGAGCTAATTCTGTTCAAGTTGGGTCAGTGAGCCATGTGGTAACTCCATGGGTCACGTTCTCATGTGGCTCACACCGAGGCGACCCGCGCGGAGGAGCTGGCAGAACAGATGCGACTAATGGACGAGGCCGCTGGGCAGATGCCCAGCCTTGGAATGTGCATTCTCCCTTGGAATGCTGGAAGGCCAATGGATGCCAATGGAGTTTTCCACATGCAATGACTTGCAAACGTGATTTTGCACCAGGGAAGGCACCAACACAGAGAGACTTTGGAGCAAGAAGTGGTGCAACAGCGTCCCCTGGCCAGAGTGGTTTTCAGGGGCAGCAGTGTCCTACATAGTAACACGTGTCGCCCTTCAGGGACCCTTAAACGAAGGCATTGTTTCTAGTAGCTTCTTGTTGCTAGTAGTAATGCCAGAAGCTACTAGTAGCGTCCTTGCTCCTAGTAGCGATGCCCTTTGTTACTAGTAGCGATGCCCTTGTGCGCGTGAAAAGTGACGAGCAAAATTCAGAGCAAGCGGCGTTCCTATGGCCAGTGTGCTTGGGAGGTTCTGGACGACGCTCGGGAACACGTTCTTTCCATGGAAACTCCCTGAGGCCAAAAGATCCAAGGCCTCGAGGGTGCTTTGGTCCAGCTCGGTGATGGCCTTAGCTACCTTAGTAATCTTAGTTTCTACGTGGGTAAGTGTGCTGGACACGATTCTTTGGTCGAAACATGCTGCTCGAAGGTCGATGACACCCAGAATGGTAACAGAATGTGGAACATGGGACGTAGAGTCCTAGAGTTGGAAAAGTATAGAGGTGCTAGTACGATCGGCATGCCCAAAGGCTTGGTGTATTCTGCGCAAAGCCTTCTTATTTCGTAAGAGCGATATCCAAGACCAAACTTTCCAAGGTCAAGACGCCCAGAAGGCGGAAGACTTAGCCCAAGAGCAGATCGAGGTGTTGCAGGAGCGGTTAAGACACATGGAGGCGTGGTTTGACAGTTTCTGTGGAGGACTTTCGTGAGGCAAGAGTTTGGCCAGTTGAGTAGGACCACCAAGAGATTCTGCTTTGCAATCATCGGAATATTGTATACATAGTTGGGAATTGGTCACTTTGGCTTTGGGGATCGAGTTTTAACTTATTGGTTGCTGACCTCGGTGGCTTCATAAACGAGTTAACTTTACTATCTCCATGTTGGTTTCGAAGATGCTTTTTATCTCCGAAAGATTCCAGGTCTTTGTTTTAGGAAGGATTTCTAACTTGAAATCAGCAAGGAAGGACTTATGACATCTTATGACCTAAGATAGAGATGGGGAAACTGCACCAGAATTCCAGTCATCCATGTGACATGGACATGTATGGAACCAGAAGCTACTAGCGTCTCCGCAAGGACGCTACTAGGGGCTCCTGGCATCGCTACTAGGAACAAGAAGCTCCTTGGGAATGGGCTGAATCGCCACAACAGGCCTTGGAAAACCGGCCGGACGTGGCGCGCATCGAGGCATTGGGTCTTGAAAGGAGGGTATTGCAATGGGTTCCGAACTGAATGCTTTGGTTTTAGGCAGGTATATCACTACCTGCGAGATTGGGAGCTATCTACATGCTGCAATTGCACAAGGGGTGACGTCTTTTCAGGTTAGCCATAAACCTGCGGGTGCCTTTTCCTGGGTGGGCCCGGAGATCTCTTCACATGTGTCAATAGCTAGATTGAAGAAATTGATGCTTGGTTCTATTGGGGGTTGCGATTGGCCGAGCTGTTCCGTGCCCCCGTGCTGTAGAGGAGAGGAACATGGAGTTGATGCGAGAAGTTGACAAGTTGCGCTCGCAACTGAAGGCCTACGAGAAGGCGAGAGATTGCTGTGGCTCAATCATATGATTCATCTGATGGTTTGCCGGGTCGCAATTTGGACAAAGACTTGGAACGCTTGCAGGTGTTTGCATGCATTGGCACATTGAAGCAACATAGGGAGCAAAGGTGCCATCATTAATTGAGACACATACTGTATCCAGGCATCGCACAGCACCGCTCCATTATATAATATTACAATATATTACAATTATATTACATTGTTGCTATATATGTATATAATATACACATGTGGGTGTCGTTTTTTTTGGGCCTTACTGTTGATTGATAAAATCTTACATCAATAAAGCAACACATGTGGTTTTCCAATTTGGCACAGACCCCTGCGCCCCAACTCAATGTTGTTTTATTTTTGGTATGTGATGCAGGTGTTTGGTCACTCAGCTTGGTTACTCCATGTAAAAGACGGAGCGCGACGGTATGACATGGGGTGGTTCTGCCAGTGGTGCAGGATCTTGTCCATCAACCATATCACTGTGTCTAACTTAATCTGTTTATCTATCAAAATTTGTTTATATGTATATATATATATATTTGTTTATATGTATATATATATAGGAATACTTCCCGCGGCACTTTGTGCTAACTGCCAGGCGCAGGCACAGCCACCCAGCCAGCTGCTCAGCAGGGGCCGGCTTCCGGCAGCATAAGGCATATTCAAAATTTCAAAAGCATGTCAAGCTCCTGAGCAGATCTTGACCAAGGAAGCCTTGTTTTGGCTTGGCCAGAGCTACCGAGGCCCTCCCATTGAACCTCTTCGACGCTCTTCTATTGCCTCCAATGACAGCGATTTTCGGTCCAAAGTCAGCTCTGTGAAACGTCCGGCAGCCCAAAGAGCCAAGGTTAGAGTCAAAGCTTGGAATTTTTCACTTGTCCAAGCCTGGTTAGACTCAGTTGAGAGCACCTGGGAAAAATAAATGCCGAAATGCTTAGTGGTTGGGGTTCCCAAGTGAATCTTTCCATTCAGCTTGATGCAGATGTGGTAGAATTCACCATGTTGGAAGGTCGGGCCTCGGAACTTCTTCGCCAAGCAGCTGCACCAAACTCGCTGCACTTCTCAGAGGGAGTCATTTGATAGTTTTGCAAGATGCCAGAGTCTGCCAGAGTGCCCATTGGTCCGCTTGTAGAGCGCTCTTGTTGGCCCTAAACCGAACTTATCAACTTGGGCAGGCCCTGTCAGAGTTCTTAGCTTTGTGGCAACAAAAGTGTGAGATGTGAGAAAAACATATCGACCGCGTACTGCGTATTTAGTCGCTTCAGGCAGCTCTTGGATGTTCAGATCCGTGCTGGGGCCCAAAGTTGGCAAGAAGGCCTGGTCGACTCGATGCGAATGGCTTCACACTGTGCACAGAGCAGTGCCCCGTGGGATTCGATTCTTCCCCAGACTTGATGCTTTGGAGACCTCATAGCGGCGCAGGTGGCAGTTTCTCTGCTGGAAGGGGCCTCAGGTCTGCTCGGGTTTAGTGCAATGCAGCAATGCATAACTGCGCAATCCAGATCTGTGTGGAGTGCCCAGCCCTCGTTCCGACCACTGTTGAGCAACGCCAATGTAAGGCTTGCATTCCAATGCAGATGAGGCCAGAACTTGCGACAAACTTACATTGGCAGACACACACTGACAAAGCACGGAAAGCAGCCCTTTTGGAGCACCCTGCACCTTTTAACCTTTTCACAGCAGTGGCTGGAGACAGTGCACCAAGTAATTAGGTCACTAGGTTGCTGGAATTTGCTTTGGTTTGGAAGCAAAGAGAGTGCGCATGTGTACTGTTCGAGTGTGCATAGAGGTGTTAACATAAATGTCAACGGTTTTGATTCGAAGCAGATAGCAGTGCTTTTGAATACTAATCATTGGTGAATGTTGGTGACATGTTCATTCACGTGCGTGATAGGCAAGCATACGTGCCGAGCGGCACCAGCTCTCAGTGCTGGTAGATGCAGCTGCTTGTGTCAGACAGCTGAGATTGGGAGTCCAGTAGAGCAGAACAGCAGTGCGCACAGCAAAGGATTGCATGTGAAATTATATAGCTATTAGGTTGGAGGCCATTGCTAGTAGGTTGGAGGCCATTGCTCTTAGGTTGTTGCATGTGAAATGATGTGGTGGATTCCAGTAGCCTGAATTCGCCTTTTGGCACAATTCCTCCCAAGCAAGTGGCAACTGTTGTGCATGTAAGCTGACCATCACATTGCAGCGGCCTAGAGCTGTCCGGTTCCAAGAGGGGGGTGCTCTCAGGACCTGGCAGCATTGAAGGAAGAAGCCTGGGACTCAACAGGTTGAGTAAAGACAAGCCAGGCATCACAAGGTGTTGCTGAGGTCGCATGAGGTGCTTGGTGGCCGAATGTGTAGCATCGCGCTTGTAGCAGTGTTTGTGTCATGACGTGGACCAGAGTTGTGCAAAGCTATGTCTCAATGTTCCTCACTCGCAGACATTGTCATATTGTCATCGAGGCCAGCACCCATCATGAGCTGCCACCTCAAGTGCTTGAGGACCTTGGAGATGTTCAATGCATCCCACTGCATTGAATTGATGTCAGCCATGGAGTCACGGTTGCAAACACGCCACGGAATTTGGAGGAGGTTATGCAAGAGATCGAGCTGGCCTGGGCGAACTGCAAAGATGAAACAGGGTGACTCAGCTGAAACGATGCCCTGGATCTCATCCATCTCCACTGCCATAGCATGCACCGTGCTGAAGCTGGTTGGTTTGGACTTGACTTCCTTAGGATGCTGCAAAGCAGTAGCGCCCTGGATGGCATGTCGGAGGCTTGCAAATGAGGGACATGTTGCTAGTGAAGCGAGTGTGCTCACCAACATTCACCAACACAAAGTCCGGCTTTTCGACTCATGGGTAGAGTCGAGATCTTGAAGCCTTCAAAGGATCTTCAAAGGCTGCAACTTTGCCCTCAGGCGCAGCTGCAAAGCTTAGCTGCTGATCTAGGCGGGAGAGGGAGGGCAACACCCATTCCTCAAACGGAACAAACGGCCTTTCAGATGCATTTTTCCACTGGCTGTGGTTTACCTTTCCATCACTGGCTTTCACAGGTTACCTCGATGGCAGCCATCAAAATGCCTGGAAGGAGGAGACCCCAATGCATTGGGCAGCTGCGCTCAAACCTCAGAAGGATCCAATGACTCCCCCAAGGACCCGCATTCATTCGATCACAAGCCCTTCCTTTGGCTTGGCCCTGCAGCTGCTACCCCCCTCGGCCTTAGGCTTGAGACTGCCACACATGGTAACCAGAGCGGGTCTCTATTCTTCTTTAAGAACCCTCTGAGCTGTGTTGCTTGATCTGGAAGCAGGAATGACTCGACTCACATGATAGGTCTTAACCGACCTTGGCAACTTTTGAAACCTTTGGAGCACCCGGAATTGAAATGAAATTCTGGAGATTGAAATTGGCCTCCGTTTCATGTTTCCAGGAGTCCACTCTCTGGAGCTTAGCCTGTATTTGTGTTCATGTTCGTTTTGTTTAGATTCTCTCTGGAGACATTCCCTTGCTATTGGTATTGGCACAATTCTCGCGCAACTCTGGTGATTGTCTCCGCGCTGCAAAGCTCACGGTCTATATAAGTAGGCTTTGCTTTCACAGTAGCCTTCGTAGACGAGCTTGGCTTACGAAGCTTTGTCGCCTCGTAGTAGCGGAAACCTAAATAGGCAATGAAGATTGGTTCACCCCATGCCTCTCGATCGATTTGGGGACGTGAATGGGTTGGAGCAAGAGGTGGCTCATGGCCATGAGGCAAAGGTCATCGCCAAAGGTCCTAGGTGCCTTGACGGCCCACGCTCCTGAGATATTGAGATAGTGTTCGTAGCTGGACCAGGTCGTGCGAACAGGGAAGCGGCCAAGTAAGAGATGACTCTGCACAGGCACTTCAAACAAACATGCGGCTGGACACAAAACATGCTTCGGGCTCTTCACGCAATTGCATCAAGGCCCCAGGCACTGTACCTCTTCACTGCCGCAACGCCGTGCACAAGAAGACAGCGGAACAGCAAGGCCACCATCTCGCAGAGACAAAAGCGGAGGAGTACCTCCAGAGAGGAGGCTTGTGGTACACAAGAACAAGCAAACACACACAGAGATATATATATATATAAGCAAAGCACAAATAGAAACTACAATGGAAAGTAGCTTCCAACTGGGAGAGCATTCTTTGGAGTATAGCCCTGGTACAGGAAAAATAACCGAAATTGAAACTGTATAGTTTCAACCTTGAACTCTGAAACTTCACTTCTTGAAAATACGTTTTAATGTGTTGGACAACTTGGACAACTATATACTTGGTACAATCTCATGTCTTTCAGCCGCATCCCGAGGCATGGCCGGAGGGATCTTGCAGAGTTTCTTTTGAGGCTGGCCAGACGCAAGCAGGTCTCCAGATTCGTCTCCACAGGGGTCAGTCTTCGTTTTAAGATTTTTTGAGCAATGTGCTGGACACTGTCAACCTGGGCCAGCAAAACCCTGTCATACTTGGTGAATACTTGGCTGATTTTAAGTCCAAGTGCTAGAGCAACTTGGGATATGTAACTACTGGGAGCCAATGGTGTCGACTGCTGGCCGTGTCGTCACGTAGGCAGGATCAAGGGGAAGCCCTTCTGCGAAGAGTGGACCATGAAGGCTTCGTTCCGGAACTCGGACGTGTTGCGTTTGAAGATTCGGGCCGTGTGGCTGGGGGTTTATCATGAAATGACATTGGCATGTATGATGCCATGTTTGCAGGCCGCATCCCTGCAGAAGTGGCTGAAAGGCATCACCAGGTGCCAGTTTGAAACATCAGACATCAAGGGTTGTGTTTTTACTTCAGAACTCCCTGTCTTCGTGCTTGCATGGCGTTGCAGAAGTTAAAAGTTTCAGCCTCGCAGGTCAGCATGGCGCAGTTTCTGCGTGGTCACATGCAGAGAAAGCCTCCAAAGAAGGCATCCAAGTTCGGAGATGAAGCCGAAAGCTTCAGAGGCCTTTTAGAACCAATTATAATAACTGTTGAATCAACTATGAAATGAACGAGAATGCCCAAATACAAAAGAATCGGGTAGGTAGGTGCAAAACCACTCCAGAGCAACTGCTGCACGGCCGCCCCACAAGCCGTTGTGAATTCACACAGGGATCACACAGGTGCTGATTCTTAGAGAGTGCAGGCTGCACATCATGTCATGTCCGCCTACCCGGGCAGGTGACTTTGGAAGACAGTCTTCCTCCAGCCTACCAGCAAGTCTTGAAACAGGTTGGGCACGCACATGACAAGCCAGGTGGCACATGCGATGTGATTGATGTGCACTCGGATTCTGTTGGAAGCATTTTTGTTGGCCAGTCGTCGAGTCATGTAGAGTCGACCCAAACAGATTTGAAGGTTTTATCATCACAGCTGCAACTAGGGCATCGCTACTAGTAACAAGTGCATTGCTACTCGGAACAAGTGCATTCACAAGTATGTCAGTAACAAGCGTTGCACCCTCAGAGCTTGCAGCTTGGCCTAGTAGGTGGTGCAAGAAGGCTGGGGATCAGTGCATTGGAAAGATGGCCGGGGGCACAGCTGTCGGCTCTCACTGCAGGGAATTCGGCAGGTTGGAGGTAAGAAGTTGTTGATATATAGTTCTCAGTGTGGCCAGTAACTTGGCCTTCATTCTTCACTTGCTTCAAATTGGAGCATGCTGTATTCGTGCCCAGTAAGGCCGCCTGAAGCGCGGGCGACGGTGTTGTTTGGTTAGGGGTGCTTGCACGGAAGCATCATCTCAATTGTTTCTCCACTGATTAGTGTTACAGATTGTAGACACTAGCATGCACTCTCTTGGAATGGACTCAACTGACTCAACTTTCTGTTTAAGCAACAAAGTTACGCGGATAGGCAGCAAGAAACTCTTATTATCGCTTACCGGTAGGAAGAAGAGAAAGAGAGAGAGAGAGAGAGGGAGGGAGGGAATGAGTGAGTGAGTGAAACCCTTGCCTTGGAGCCTGTGCAGTCTCTAATTTTGAATATTTTTGAGTTTTGTTTCTACTACAAATGCCCGCACTAATGTCCATTTGGATGCTTAGGTTTCACTATGCTTCACTGGGCGGCTTCCAAAGGGGAGGCGCTGTCACACAGCAAGTCCTTTCGATTGACTATAGGGGTGCCATTCGGGTGCATAGGGTGCATGAAACCAAGATCTTGAGAACGCACACCAGGCTTGGGAAGTAAATTGGTGCTAGAATTGCCCGTGCAAGCTCACATTGCGAGAGAGTCATTTTGTAGACCTGTCCACCATTGCTTGTTGCGCTGCAGGTGGAATTAGCTCGATACCTGCTACAGCTCCGGGCCGATCCAGAAGCTCGTGATGACACGGTGCCATGCCATAGAGCAATGTCGAGCCTTCAAGAAACAGCATGCGTGATCATACCATTCCAATTCATTGGCGATGATGGCACTTGCCAGCATTTGCCAGTTTTTCATGTGCTTGAAGCAGGGCTGAAATTTCATTAACATTCGAAAGCCTTGAACCATACATCGCTCTATATTTTGCAATGTATGCTATTAATGTTCATGCGCGTTGTTCCTAAAGCGACTTTGGCAGCGTGGCGTAAGCCAACCCCGCGGCCAGCACCACCGGACGCCTTTGGACTGGGCCGAGCATGAGGGCCACTCCCAGGCAAGCTGTGCACTGTATGGGCCCCAAAGATTCCTGACAAGATGAAAGCACGAAACCTGGAGCATGTTGGATTCAATGCATTTGGCGGTTGAGCATAAGAAGTAAACGTCAGTGTCAAAATTGCGGATTATTTTAGTGTTCGTTGAACCTGGTTGGTAGTACAAAGTATTTAGCCCTTCATGATCTTGCAGTCGACCAGGCAGCAGAGATGCTTCGGAGACAGAGCAGGACCGTTTGCTGAGTGAGCATTTGAGAGTTTGGTGGTCCCTGGAAAGGCTCCTAGCCAGCAAACTCGTGTCAGAATACACCACATTGTTCCCCCCCAACCTGCTGACCTACTGCTAGTGCTTTTTGTCCTTTCTCCCCTAGATGGCCAGCGCTTGATTTGCATGCAATGTTTGTTTTGTTTTGCTGGCGTCCCCTTCCAAGGACGCTGCGATCGGGAAGATTGATCCCACATAGCTTGTATGTAAAGCTTGCTGATGATATCTGATCATGAAATATAATGAATGTAATTGCAACGGTCGCTCCAATTTGTGAGTGTGAGTTTCAATGAGCTTCCCCGTGCAACCAGTCTAGATCCTGACAGCTCTGAGCTTATTCGACCGGGCTTCTGCTTAAATAACCAAACATTGGGGTCCGTTGGGTTCTTGCATCATTTTGCATCCATTGGGTCGAAGTCCATAAACTCCAGACAAGCGTGACAAGCATCAAATCACATCGAATCTGATTGGCCAGAAGCCGACTTTCGGGGCGATTGTCTTCCTCCGGAGGGGCTTTCCGGCAGGCAGGGACGCAGCTGCGAGATTGGGCTTGGGTGCGTGAACAGGGCAGCTTGTACATCTTGCAGGTGTCTCGCAGTCTCTCACTAAAACGGTTTTCAAAGGTTTTCCAAACCTTTGCAAACCATCACGAAAGTCACCTTTGACATGAGATCCCAGGCATGTTTTCAATGAGAAGCTCTCCAACATCCTCCAACCCAAGCAACCCCTTCGTTTCTGCACTGTGGATCCCCTGGGGCGGATCCTGGAAGGCCAGAAGCTCCTTGCCTGCACCTGCATCGCCCAGCTATGAAGCTGCCAACCGGCTGGGGACACAGCCACGGGGGCGAAATGCTCTTTTGTTTGTGTTGAGAGGGGATCGTAGAAATGGAATGACATGGAGACAAAGTTAAATCGAACTTGGTCGAATCTCAATGCTTCCCTCACTACTGGAGATCCTAGACATTATTGTCCAAGTTTCCTACATTTTAACAGCAGGTGCAAGGCTTTCTCCAATCCTCTCAGGCGAAAATCTGAAGCAATAATGCGTCGACGCAGCTCGGAAGCTCAATTCTGCAGCTTGCTACCTATGTCTGGCCTACAGTTTGCAGAGCCTTGATGAGCCTATGGAATTGTTGGTGTGGTCCATGAAGGCTGGACCATGCTGGACCAACATGTTAGGGAAAACTGGGTATTGCTGGGCACACTCATTTCAAGAGACTGGACGATGAAAGGCCCCGCGTTTCCTATGTTTCCTCACGTACGTCCACAGTGTGAGGTTCCAGGAGAAAGTCAACCATCCCAGAGGGCTACTTGCCTGCAGGAGCCTTGGCAATGTGTCCAGGATTCGAAGGTATTGCCCAAATGTCAGGGTGTCCAAAACGTGTCCAAAAACGTCAACGGAGCATGCCTGTTTTGTGTGAATTTGCTTGATGTGGTTCAGTGATGCGCTGCTTGGATGAGTGCCAAGCCAACTTCAATGACATTTGCTCGCCATTCAGGTCCGCCTGGGCGGTCACATAAATGCACAGATGATGTGCCAAGGTCTTGGAGGAGATTGACCAGCGAGGATGGAACAACATGCCACTCAGCTGGAGCAATGCTTTGCGACATTGAAGGAGGGCCCCCCAGTAGGCCCCACTCATCGTCTTATATGATTATCAACCATTCTAAGTTAAGTCGATATATACCATCCTTCATTTGCGTCCCGCGCGCTTAACATCACTATGCAGAAATTCAATCAGTGAAGATAGTCTCATGATGTCTCATGATGTCTCAGCCTTTTGACCTGTGAATGCTGACTGCAACATGTTGATGCATCAGTCCTTCCTGTCCCTTTGCCTCCTTTTAGGCGTGAACGGTGTCAGTAGTTCAGGCAGTGGACTCGAGGATTTACACTTCTGCATTGGGTCTGAGCCTGGGGATCTTTAGACAGCTTTCATGTGGGCCATGTCATGTGGGACTGAGTGACATGCACCCACGCAATCTTGCTCCACTTTGTGGCCGTGTGCGAGAGGGAGCGGTTGTACATCAGGACCGGGCGACAATCCTTTAAGGAAAGGACGTATCTATAAATATGATGATATCATCAATCTTGAATAATCTTGAGTTGTTTCTTCACGATGACATGTCTAATAGCAGCATGTCCATTGAATCAACTGTGTCGGAATAAGTGCTGACCGCTGCCAAGGCAGCTCAAAATGACAAACCTGATTTGGTGGAGCAGCTGTTCGCAAAGGCTCGTCACACGCAATTCACAGATCCAATATGGTCCAATCTGCAGGTTCACGGCCAGATCAACAGACTCATTAATATCCGTGGGATTTCTTTCATTTAGTCGAAAACGGAACAATGCTGGTGCTAGTGCAAAGAATATACAGAAAGGATGGATTTCAAGCCGTTTTGCTGGAGCTGAAGGGGCTGCAGTGGCCTCTGACTCCCTCGGACCACAAAAGGTTGAAGTGCAGAAAACCACTTTGTGGCATAGATGGGACATGATGGGGGGCTAGGGACGAGAGGGACGGAAAAGCTTGATGCGTGGATGATCAAAGTCTTCCTCCATGAGCAACAACTTGCAACAAAATGTCAATTAGTAATTAGATGTAATTAGTCTTGAGGTCCTTCCTGCACTGCCAGCTGCCGACCAATAGAATGTCCTCACTTTTCTCGGCACCTACTCGCAGCTGCAACATACCCAGACTAGTCCAGGCAGCCGATCCCATGCAGCAAGATGACGACGGCAGGAGAGAGTTTGCAGCTTCATGAAGCGCAAGATGTTGATAAACCATCTAAATCTAGACATATCTAGACGTCAAAAGAAGAGTTACCAAATGATATTGATCGGTGAGAGTGCACTTCTTGTTCCCTTTTCCATTCCCAGGGCTGCACTGCACGTGCCAGATGCCGGAAAACGGGTGGCTGCCCTGTGAATTCAAGACCCCAGGGCCCCCCTGTCCATGGCGTTTTCCATCTTTTGTAGGCCTGGACAGCCCGTGACAGCCCCTTGCAAATTTGATACTAGTAGCTTCATGTTACTAGTAGCAAGAATGCTACGAGTTACTAGTAATGCCCTTTCTTACTAGTAGCGATGCCCTTGCTCCTAGTAGCGATGCCCCTTGTTACTAGTGGCTTCCTAAACCAGGACAGCCTTGGACTTTGCCCGAGAGTCTGGTAGTCCGGCTGTATGGAGCCCAGGTCTACTGCGTTCGTCAGTTGTGGTTCGAAGCTCTTTTTTGATACCACTTGGGCACTCGCTGGAAGAGGCAAACCTACACATAGGCACACATACAGGCACCAAACTTGGAAGCAAAAAGTTTTGGTAATGCCTGTGTGGGGAGCTCACAGATTAAAACAAATATATATATATATATATATCAAGGATTATCGTCAAGATTGTGCTGGATCGAGACTGGATTGTCGGTTCCTTTTGAGGTGGTCGAAGCTTTGCAGCGCTATGCGCCGCCTCAGGTCCGAGTTCTTGGGCAGGTTCCATAGTGCAGGAAAAAGTAGGCGGTTTAAACCCGGGTTGGAAGGTCAAACACAGCTTCCACTTTCCGTAATTAGAGCGTAAGGAGGATGAGTGCCCAAGCTATGACAGGCCGCTTAATTAACTTGTACTATGCTTTGGTGCACAAGCTTTGGGAAAGGTAGGAAAAAGATTGAAAAAGGCTGAAATGCCAGAAGGTAATCAGAGATGAGTAGACTCTGGTTTACTCTAACAGGAGCTTGTTGAGGTTCAATGAGTTGCTTTCGCTGAAGATGTTCATGGTTCTTTCTATGCAAGGCCAGGCAACAACGAGAGGCGGTCAGATGTGGATGAGGGAGTCATCGCCAGTCGTAGCGAAGCATCCTTGGGTTTCTCGATGTATGGATTGTACCTATCAGAATTTCTTTTATAGATTAGATTCGGAATACAAAGCCAAGCCTGTGGGTTGTGCCCATATCATGCATTTTTCTGGACTAAATATGTGTCAACATGTAGTGAAGCAGCAACGAAGATCAATAAAGTCAGTGCACAAATAATGCGCAAACCAAGTCGACTCGTTCTTGGAAAGTCGTTTGTGTTTTTTGGGATGTGACTCCTAAGGACCCAAGATTTGGTGCCGGAAGCAATTTGGAAATCAAAAGTTGGCAATCCACTTGTTGGCGCTTGCAACAGGGGCAGGGGCATCCTGAGTTAGCTCGGACCTTTCCACATTGAAGGACAACCAGCGGCAGATGACGGACCTTATGCTGTGTGGGGCTTATCCTTTTTTTCAAGCTCTAACAGCACAGGTCAAGTGCAGATCTGGTTGAGCGCAAGGTTCACAGGTTTCAGCAACCAGTCTGCCTTTTGAGGAGTGCTCGCAGGTCACAGAACCGGGCTGGAGCCTCAACAGTCGATTTCGTGCGTTCACCCCTCCGGATGTGAGCATCAACTCCCTACTCAGCTCATGGGCTTGTTCCAACTGAGCAAGGCCAACATTTTACTATTTCATAGCCGTTTCCTTGCCCAGTTGCCAATCCTTTTGTAAGCAGGACAGGACGTGCAGCATATTAGCAGCGTATTCAGGTATATTCAGATAACAACTGCACTACCACCTGGTGCAGCTCCCCATCACTATTAGGCTGAAGACCATCGCTAGTAGGTTGGAAAACTCACCCCTTGTGCACCAATGTGGTAAACTCACCAGTTGGATAGCATATCGCCGCATCCATTTGCCAAGGTCTCCATTGCGGGTGCCGATGATATGGACGGGTGATACGTCGCACAACTTTCTATGACGGAGCTGTGACAACATGTGACAATCGGAGGCAGCAACATTTAGCTCGCAAGAATCCTTTGCTAGTTAGTCCTTCGTTCTGAGGAACAAAGACAGCCCGAAAACCAAACAATGCATTAGATGTAATTTTCGTTCCTTCAAGAGGCTTGCACTACTTGCACAGGAATAGAATTATGGGGCTTCGCTGCCAGATGGAATTTGAAAAAGTCATTGATCACAAAAAATATTACTCTATAGTCCATTTATAAATCAACACTACAAATTACAAAAATGTATATAATGAATATGCGGAATATGTGTATATATGTATATATTAATATGGGAGTTGATCTAAAACCAGTGTAAGGAGCTCTATATAAAACAGCCTTTCAGATGTTCTTAAAGCTATCCGCGAAAGATTCGCGATGAGGTTCGCAAAAGTATGTTTTTCCGCGAAAGATTTATCGAAGATCTTCGCTTTCAGTTGTTGTCCTTTCTACCGACCGACAAATTTTCTAGAAATACAAGGCAATCCTCCGGCAGAGCCGGTGGGCGGAAGTGTTTCCGTATGTCCCTATTGTCGTAGACTAACAAATTGAAGCCTCAACATTTCCTTGTTTAGTCTTCGCAGCGCGTAAAGGAGCCATTGAAATTTTGCGAATGTTTCGTGAATGTGCTGCTAAAGTCCAGGTTCCCAACTTGAGGGCCCCCTAACGGCACTACCTGCATATGGATTGATCTTAAAACCAAAAAAATTGCCACGAAGATTAATGTAAATTTAAATAATTGATTTGATCCTAGCTAATCCTCATAGAATTGCACGAATTGAAGATTACGCGGCTGTGGGTTAGGCTTTGGGATTTGTGTGGATTATAGATATGAATAATCTTAAATTCTGCAATTTTGGTGGGAAATCGTGTCTGATTAATTTCAAATTCATTTAAAATGATGTTCATTTTGCTTACGCCCTTAAGAAAGCTCAAAAAAGCCCCAAATTCTTTATTGTAAAAGCTACAAATTTGATCGAAATTTGAAATTTCTTGGCAGTAGTAGTATGAAACCTCTAAATATGATCGAAATTTGTATTTTTTTGGTGGTAGCAGCGCGAAAGCTCGAAATTTTGAGTTTTTTTAATATTAGGAATATATAAATTGTAAATTAATTAAGAATTGATGATAATAATACGAAAGCTATAAAATTGATTTAGAATTATTTAATGATAGGATAAATTGAATTGATATTTAATTGGTTTTTATTGTAATAATATAAAAAATTATTAAAATTCTATATATATTTTTTTTTGTTTAAATTAAATATGATAAATAACAAACATATTAAATTAAATTTTATTGATTTATAATTTAAATTCGTCGTATATTTATAATATTAAACATATTAATTTAAAATTAATTTTTAGTTTTTAATTTAATTAATATTTATATAATTTAATTATAATTAAAATATATATTTATTACAATAAATGATTTTATAAATATAGATTTTAGAAATATAGAAACCAAAATTTATAATTATTTATTATAATATTAATTATTATATATAAGAAATCTAAAAAATTATTCTTAAATTAAATAATAACTAATATTTAACAATATATTATAATAAATTTAAAATTTTTAATTTTTATTTAAATAATATATTGAGGGAATATATATTATTTTAAAGCAATATTCTTATTATTTATATTTTATTTTATATATTATATCGGTTTTTTTATAACGATTATTATTAAATAGGACGGTATATTTTTTAAAATATAAGATTTGGATTACCTACCTAAAACCATAAATGATTCATATTTCGATCCATAGGGTATAAATCAAAAGGTGGATAGATGATCCAAACCCTTGGATTACAGAATTACTAGTGTTACCATTGCTATAATAACTATTACTATTATTATTTTTACTCTTACTAGTGTTATTATTGCCACCACTCCTATAATTATTGCCACTACACTTGCTACCACTACTATTATTATTGCTACTATTATTCGCTACTATCACTGGTATTCCACCACAGATTTAGCGGAAGCCACTAAATTTAATTTTAAATTGATTTCCCATTCTGGCAAATATATTTAGTGGAATCCGCTAAGTGCGATTACAATTGATTTCCCATTCTGGCAAATAGATTTAGTGGAATCCGCTAAGTGCGAGCACAGCCGGGATTTGAACCCATATACCGTGGAGGTAGAGAATGCTCGAACCATTAAGCTATGGAAGCCTCTGAGTGGAGGAGCCAATCTAACAAGACGATATTAAAGAAGGCGCCAGAAGACAAGATAGTGGAAGGCTAAACAGAATTAGCGGAAGCCGGAAGCCACTAGCCAGTGTTTGGAGCGAGCCTCCAATCTAGAATGCTGATTTGAGAACCCATTAAATCACTAATTTGCGTGGCTAGCTAATAGCCTTTTTGTGCTTCTTGTATCGTCTTCTTGAATCAAAATAAAGGCTGGAGAAATGAGGTTAGTGCCCGAAAATTTTAATCCGCAAGGCCTCTTGTTGGCCCAAGAGGAGTGAACCAGCGCCCAAAGCCACCCATTCTGCTCAACCATGGCCCAATATGAATTTAGCGGCGGCCAGTACTTCAAAACAGGCATGCCACAAACAGGATGGCTTTGATCGAATTGGTGAGAAAGTGGTGGGATGGAGCGCCAGCATGCAGATGTGTTTATATCGGGGGCTTGGATCAAGTGACTTGTCGGTTTGATCCATAGGGCTTGGATCAGCGCTCTGATCCATAGGGTTTGGATCACTCTCGCTGCAGCGCGGAACGATCCATACTAGGGTTTCTGGCCGCACCCATATTATTCCTTGGGAGGAATATTATGCCGATATTATCTTCATTGATTATTATTCAATTTGGTGAATTCATAAGTCATCGTTGGCGCCTTCTCGTATGGCGGGCGGACGGTTATATCAGGGTAATTCATTTATATAGTCGATATATTTTAAATTATTATTGTTATTTAATAATATGTTTAAAATATCTATTAAAGGATTCCTCGATTTACGTCTCTAGAAATATATTGGAGGAATATCGATGATATAATTGATGATATTTGAATATATGTCGTCCTTTTTGATTTATAGAATAGAATATCTTTAAATATATAAATATTAGTTCCATCTGATTTTAATTATTAATATTCGCAATATATATATATATATAATTCCGGAATCATAGAATATTTTGTAATAAAGATTAACTATATAATAGGATTATTAATAAATAATATATATTATCATATTAGAATTTTATGATTTATATGAAATATAGATAATTATGAAAAATATATATAATTGAATATCTAATAGAATTAATATTATTCTTAATATTATATATATAGTATAATCTATATATATATAATATATCCGATTATATTGGGATCCAGGGTCAATATAGGATCTTTTTCCTAGGATTGTCTTTGATTCAATCAAAACAGGTGGATACATTTGAAGGCTAGAGGTTTAAAGATAAGATCAAAAAATAAAAATATCCTGACCAATGCAAATAAACATGTTTTAGGAAGACCTGAGGCTAGTAAATTAGATGAATAGGATCGACCATACGGCTCTTGAAAAGCAGATGTGCTTGCAAAATATAGATGTGGCTGCAGATATCTTAGTGTTGGAAAAATACATATTCTTAAAAAAAAATTATCAATCAAATAAATATTCAAAAAATAACATTTCTTGATATTGGAGTCGATAAAATTCATGCCATGAATTATTTCCTCATCATTCTTTTTCTTGGTTTGTTTTCAGGAGAGCCTGGTGAGATTTAAGTGCTTTGTTCCGGATCTCGACGAAGAGATATGAAATCAGGATTTTATCGGCGGCATTGAAACGAATCCGCCTTGGAGATAAAGAAATGAAAGATATTGAATATGTTTTAGACCCGTTATGGATTCTTTTGTTCTTTTTTAGGTGGGAGGCGGGTTCACCATGGCTAAGTATTAGTATAGATATCTTTATTGCAATTCAATAAATCTATATTTTTTGTTCTTTCTAATGTATATAGTTTCTATCTGATCTTTTTCTATTCACATTATTGA